TTTGTGTGGTGCACTGAAATAATCAAGGTAATTTACTAAAACTTGACGGATAAAATTTTGAAAAATCTTTTATTGTATCCCGAAGATCATCAGCCAATAATCACAACTTATCCCATAGCACGAGGAGCGCTTATTTGAATTTTTAGAAACATACCAGATAAAACTGGAAAAAATTGATACGTATATTTATTTTGAGATCCGTTTTTATTTCAAAGCCGAAGTACTTTTGTAAACAGAATGAATAAAATGGGACTCAAACCTCCCCTCAAGAACTCGAAAAATCATCAACGCCCAAAAAGTTTCACTATTTTATATCAATTTTCAGCCGACTTTTTTTAAAATGTTTTCAAGGAGGCATATAGTGTTCTATTACAATTGACCAAGATGTGTAAACCATTTTCTGTTAACTTAAAAAAACTGAAAAATGGATGTATGAACAAAAACGACCGGGACAAATGATAAGGGCTACATATTTTTTTGTAGTTGGGCCCAGAGGAGGCCGAGCATCTACAGTGGACCAACAGAACAGACAGAAGCCAGACTACCGCTGGATGGAGGAGGGCGGAGGGGAGGGGGGACCCACCCAGGTCAGAGACTTCAACCGGGAACCGTGAGTAGCGAGATGTGATGATGGATTTTTGAAAGATGTACTTCTGTGTTTTTTTAAATGATGCTAAACATTCTCCGTCACTTCAATTTATTCTCCGTCACTACAATTCTGGCAGAATCCTACCAATTCTGTCAGAATTGTAAAAACCTATTTTGAACTTGCAGCATGAACTCTTCCGACTCTGTGTGGAAGCAGGAGCATGGCCACACTTGGGGAGGGGGCTGGGATACCCTGGACTCAAAAGGCATTAAGGCCAAGGGAGTCCACTTTGACTCAGATGTGGAGCAGTTCACGGACACTAGTGACGAGGCAGTGATGAGAATCTCCATTTTGCTCAAAATTTCAGACGTTTTTTAAAATATTTCTGTAAGAACCAAACTAACTCAATCCTCGTAATTTGTTGAAAAAAAATCACTTTTAAAAAAATCCACAGTTTAAACGTTAATAATCAAGCAACTAGTTTTGAATTCTCACAAAACTGTTACAAATAGTTTTCTATAATTGAAATAAATTTTGAATTCTTTTTTGGCGTCAGATTTTTTGAGAAAAACTCAAAAATTAAATTCTCCTCACTGAGAGCAGGAGATCACTGTTGGAAGTGAGAAATACGAGGCTGAGTTTGGGAAGTACCGGATGTTTGATGCGAAGGGCTTCCAGATATCACAGGATGTGAGGAAATTTCTCAGGAACAACAGAGACGAAGGCGAACTCAGTAACCGTTTCAGTTTTTGCCTCAAAGTCATTCTGTCTGATATAAAAAGCTAAATGTTTGACCTAGAATGTCAGAGTTATTCATTGATGTGCGACGCTATGTTTGCAGCTTTCTCATACAAAGTTTAATAATTAAGTCTTGAATGCATTTTGCAGAAAAAGTCTTATACAAATGAGCAGAAAAAGTCTTATACAAATGAATAATTTTTTTTAGAGATACGGGTCCACTGCTTATTGAATTTTTTCTCAAACCACGTGACCAGGTAACCACGTGACTTGTGTTTACAGCTGCTCGTCGTGATGCAAAGATGGCTCTGCAGGAGATCACAGACATGATGCATGATAACCTCATGAAGAGATTCCCTCCATGCCACGACGCAGGTGAGTGTTTTATAAACACTAGGATCACTGCAAGATCTTATGGTGCATATACAAAACCGACCCATAGAAAACAGTCCAATACAAAATAGTCTGAAAAATCATGTAATGGAGGAAAAAAACAGTCCTGGACAAAACAGTCCGGTTTATAATTGATGTTGTTATATAATAAGTTCGACATGGGGGAAGGAACTCAGTTTTCCTTAAATCTGGTTGCAAAATTAATTTAAGCTCTTTAGGACATCTTTTTGCTAATTATAGTGAAACGTCCAAAAATGGCTTAAAACCAACGCCAGTTTTGAAAACTTTCGCAAAAAAATGGCTACAGCGCAGATTGTTTCGGGTGAAAAAGTATCTTTTGAATTAGATTCAATTAGAATGGGAAAATCATTTTTGTCAGCTTACGAAAAAGCTTAATTTTGTCAGCTTATCTATAGCTGAATAAACCGCCTGACAAAAATTATGCACTCGTCACACAGGGGTGGATCTAGGATTTTCTCGAGGAGGGGGGTTCAAAAAAAATTTCGAAAATTTTGTCGACCTATTTCTTTGGGTCGACCAAATAGATTTTCTGAGCTCTCCCCTAAGCTCCACAAAGACCAAATTTTGAAAAAAAAACAGGCCAAAAAACGCGTTTTTAGGCTCTTTTTGAAAAATTTTTGACCAAAAATCGTGTTTTTTCGGCGAGCGCCCCCCCCCTTAAAAATCAGATGATTTGGCGCCCTTGGAAAAGTTTTAGGGTCAGTCAGCCAAAAATGGATGTCTCAAAATAGTACAAAGGGGGACCAAAGGGGAAATCAAAAGGGGGTGTACAAAATAGTACAAAACTGCCTCAAAATGTCTCTGATTTTAAAAAAATGCAACGAATGTTATTCAGATATGATGTTCGGACCTGGTACTATGGGGAGTCCAGGACCTGGTTCGCCCATACTCGGCGGAATTGGGCAACACCCTAGAGGAGGATCCCCTCAATTTGGCCATCATCCACCTCCTCCAACTGCGATGAGTATGGGGGACACCACGTCTATTTTCTCCGAACACCCACCGCCAGGTAAGCTTTTCCAATAATTATTGATTATTTTTCGTGTGTAAGAATACGTGAACTAATTTGAATTAATTTTATTTTTCACAAAAAAAAGAGTTAATCTTGAAAATTTTGAAAACAGTTCAGAAAAAAATCACTCATTTTTTCCACTTTCTTGAAATAATTGACACGTTTTTCGTTTTTTTTAATGTATTTTGGCTACGAGATAAACTATGAAATGTTTTTTTTTCTCTATAACCGAACAAAATTTTACTGCGTTTGATGTAGGAAGACACCAATTTGGCAGAATTGTGAGCAGTTTCTATCCTTAAGATCTGATTTCAGTTTCTTCCGCCAATTTGGACCCCTTTTAATCTCGATTTTCAATCTGTTTCAGCCTTCAGCTCCTGTGGGTGGATTTGTGAACCCACATCAAGTCCGAGAGGAGAAGCAAGCGGTCATAACAGCAGCCGGGGTAAGGCCCGGTTTTGAAACGCTTTCTCATAAATTTCTTACCCATCCCAATAAAGCTGAGAAAGGATCTTCGTTGCTATCTTCATCCAAGAAATCTAAGCATAATTTAAAAAGAGAATCCGATTCAAGACAAATTCGATTGCTATAAGAGCAAATCAATTGGCATGTAAACTTCATATGTTTTTATATGACCTTCATGAAAATGTAGCTGCGATTCTGGTTAACCTATTGCTACCATATGATAGCAAACACGTCTAAATTTTGTCCAAATAGCTCTTTTTTCTCGCATTTAAATGGATATCATGTTCTCAAATGGGTTCAATCATGTGTTCAATTGATGTAACACAGTGTTCTATGTACGGGATTATTGTATGTTATGACAGGATGCTCCAGTGGCTGGCTTTCACGTAGGCACTGAGCCCCTGGACAGATTCTTTGCGAACCTGACCGGAGAACACTGCCAGTGTGCCAGGGGGGAGCTTGGCAAATTCTCCCTAGAGTGCAAGTGAGTCGCAGGCTGTGTTGATTTTCTTGGCAGGCGGGGGTTTTAGTTACTCGCTAGGTGAACAGGCCACCCCAAAGAAAAAAAGGAGGATTAATGGTCCTAAATGCTTCGAGTATTCTACATATCTTTGAAATTTAGAACTAATAATTTTTGTTCTGGAGCTTGTTAACAAGAAAAATCAAATAAATAAAGCCTTTTGTCTTTTAATTTCCACACATTTGAGTTGAATGATTTCTTAGATGTTCAAAATAACTCTCGCAAGAGTTTCGACAAAAAAAACTATCGAAAAAGTTCTGAACTTTCCGACTGCCCTTTAACGTCGACGTGTAGTTTTAGCTTATAGTTATTTAACTTTGCGAAACCTTTTTCTTGTCTGAGATCCGTGCTAAGACTAAGAACAAAGTGATATGTGTTACATCTAAAAACGTAGTAAAAAAATTGCTTTGCTCAATTTTATTTAGAAGTTTTTAGGTTGCCCATTACACTTTAAAATTTAGCTCTTGTTTTTTAAGAGTCGATGAACAAAATTCACATTGTTATATAGGTCGCGGTGGTTTTTTTCTTTCGTTTTTCTTTTGTTTTTCTTTAGAAAAAGTCTTATATTTGTTCAGGTTCAAGTTTACTTTTTCGCGGTTTGGCTTTTGATTCATTTTTAGTTCATTACCTTGTTTAAAACGAAGGCAAACTACACTATAGAACAGCGAAAGTCGAAAAATCACAAAAAACTTGAAAGATTTCTAGTTTCAAAACTTTATTTTCAGAATTCCCAGTGAAATAAAAACTTTATCTATTGATTCAATTTTCTCGATTTGTTTTAATTTTAGCAAAAAAAGTTCGATCTTAAACTGTTCGTGAAATTCAAAAAGGTTAAGGACATTTGTTTTAATTTAAAATTCAAGGTTGAGGTTTTTTCAAAAACAAGCCAGTATTTTTTCTGATTTCTCATTACTCTTTTCCTTGCGTTCTATTGGCTATGATTTTTGTACGGAAACTGTTTATTTCTCACCTTACATTAGCATTGAACAATTTCAAGCAACAATAACTTGAAATCGTTTCCCTGCTCAACAGCAACTAAATAAACATTGTTTCTACATGCTTTGAGTATAAAAAATAATCGTAGCAATACAATGCAATGAGATTTTTTTAACAGGAAACAGCTCAGACTTATAGCTTATATGAGATCAAAAATTTCATACGAAAAAATTTTTTAAAGAAAATCTATGCCTTTTTTACATTTCAAACTGAATTTCCGGCTAATTATTTTGATATAAAATAATTATACACCGTCAGAAAAAAAACGAATTTGTTCCGTACGGTTATCTATTCCTCTTTGTCAAACAACACAAGCTACATTGGCGAAAAACGCTGTTTCCTCGAATGATAAAACTCAAGCTAAAGGTAAGTGCAGCAAAGCGAAGCGGAGCAAGTCCAAGCGGAGCACGTGCAAATCCCACAGTATTAAAATTTTGGGTTGATACGTGTTGCCAGCCTGTAAGAATAGACGCAAACACTGTTTAAAAAAATGCTTTAAAAATAACGTGCAAAGTGCATATGCACGCGGAGCGCACTCATCGCTAGCACTCTGGAATTGAAGTTTCATCAAATTCTGACAAATTTGCATTCGGTTTCTTGCGTACAGACAGTTTTGTAGCAAATAGGACCATTCAAATTAGTTTCACCTTGTCCATCACTCTAACACTTTGTAAACACAGTTTTTAAGGTCCTTGCTTAAACTAACTTTCAATTTTTGAGAATTACTGTCGCGCCCTTTTTTGCGAGATGACTTTTGTTTTTTTGCGCTTTTTTTGCGAGTTGTGTTTTGTTTCCAGTTGCCTTTGTAACAAAGGTTAGAAATCAAATACGAAAATGCAATTTTAATGTTTTTTTTTAAAAACGAAAATCATAAAATTAGTAGGCTCGTCGGTTGCCTTACTCTATTAATGTTGCACCACATCTCGTAACCAAGTTCGCTGCTCAAAAAAACTTATCAGGGAACATAACTTTGGAAACTACTTAAAACTGTTTGGTTGCGAGAAAAGCAAGCTGCATCAAAATCTATTTCGAATATCTCAAGAAAAACATGTAAAACTCACAAACTATCTAACTTTTTAGGAATGCAATGGCGGAGTGTGAGAATTATCGAGCGGCTGCTTCCGAATCAACGAAATTGAAGTTGGAGCGAGTTTACAAAGACAGGGAGTTTGAAATCATCTCGGACTTCGAAGAAAAACTCAGACAGAAAGACATGGCACTATCCAGGTTAGAATACACAAAGAGTTTCTTGAGGTATTTTTTCTTGAGTTTCTTGAAAACATGGTAACTGAAATGGCAGTTTCTCTAAAGTTTTGACTGAAAAAAATAAAACCAGAAATTGGTTAGATATCCTAAGCCAACTTAAGAATTTAAAATGCTATCGCTTTTTGAATGATATATACCTGTAAATTGTTGGACATTTAAGTTTTGGCCTTGAACGAATCCAAAACTGACTCGGAAGATTTGAATTTATAACATCATAATACTTCTTGCTCTAGACAGGCACTGGAGTTGTGTGAATTAAAGGAGAGGTCTAAGAGAGAGATGGCTCAATTGGAAAGACACTACCTGCAAGTCATGGACAGCGAGGGAGAGAGACTAAGGGTAGGAAAAGAAGTCAAGGGGGGTTTGTTTTAGATGACTCATTGCGAATTAAATATGCCTGCTGCAGATGATAACTTATAAGTGAAATATATCAAAGGGGGTGTAGATGATTTCATGAAAAGTGACATATGTCGGGTAAATGTGCAATATAGGAAGTTGCAAACATTTTTTAAAAAATAGGGGTCGTTGTTTTCTCCATTTACTTCTTCTTTTTTTATAAAGTAGCTCTGTTTTGATCGAATTAATTTTCTGAGATTTTTTCCAGCGTAAGCACCAGAAGGAGCTGGAGGATTTGGGGGAGGAGTTGTTTGAGAAGACGAGGACAATAAGTGAGTTGGAGGCTGAAGTCAGAATGGGCATTGAGACCATAGACCGGGCACACACAAACCTCAAGTGAGAACAGTCATTTTTCCCCTATCATTATACTTTTAGAAATGGAGTTTAGACATGCATAAAATTCCGTTTCAATTTTTTGTGATTCATCGCCAGCCAAACATCTCCTTTTCTAGCTTTCAATTTTAAAAAAACTAAATGGAATTTGAAAAATATGATTTTTGTTTCCGTGAAAATTATGCGAAATATAATCAATAACGATACCATTGAGTTTTTTTCTTGTTTTTTTTTATTTATTTGCACAAGGATAGCCAGTTTGTTTAGAGAAGTGTTGGACGAGAAGAGTGAGTTGAGACTGGAGCTGAGCCAGACTCTGCACTCTGTGAAGATGAAGGAACAGTTCACAGAGGAGAGGATGTACGCCATGCAGACAGATGTGAGTCATTCATATACTCTCTAATTTGTTATCATTCACGAGATATTGCAAAATAGTCATCCTTAATGAACAAGTTTAACTTTTTACCCTGTGTAAATAGGTTCGAATCCCGCTGCGGTTGCTGCTCTAAAAGCACTATTTTTTGTTTATAGACGATTGAGGAATTTCTTGACTGCCAAACCTTTGCTTAACAGTTTTTATGAGGGGGGGGGGGGGGGGGGGTGGCAATTAACTTTGTTGATTGAAAAGAAGTAAACTTGTATGTTGTTGCCCGGGTTGACCAAAAATGCTTGTCATACAATTCTCATATATGGCCCATACTTTTCATACATTTAGAAAAATAGCCTGAAAACAATATGATTAGCATTCTCGCATTTATGATAAAAGATAATTATATTACAAAAATTTTACCATTTTACAATGATTTTTCTTTTACCAGGAAGCTCGGGTTGAAAGAAAAAAAAATTATTATACTTTTGTTTAAGGAAAAATGGTTGTCGTACAATGCTTATCGATATTCCATAGAATAAAAAATACACGAACCAGCACGATAGTCATTTTTTTCCATTAACGAAATTGTATGACTACCATTTTTCTCAAGTCCACCAGTCTTTTTTTCTCAAAATTAGTATATTCTGGCACCGAAGGCGCCTTTAGAAAAAGTCTTAGGGTCGTTCAGCCAAAAATGGATATCTCAAAATAGTACAAAGGGTGGACCCTTTGGGTCGGCAGCGGGTCGAATCCCTGAAGGGAAAGGGGCGTCCTCCCCCCAAATCCGCTGGTGTGTATGACTAACATTTTCTCGTAGAAGAATGGTATGAATAGCATTTTCGGTGTATTTTGGTCATCTTGTGTGACTGATAGTAAATTTATACTCTTGATTGATAAAATAAAATTGTATATGTTGCAGCTGAACCAGGTTGCGCTGGGTGATCTGGAGCCGATCCTGTTAGGTCTGGATGAGGTGGAGATGTGTGAGTTGATGGGTAGAGTGGACTACACTCCATCTATGAGGGAAGTGATCAAATTTCTCAAGGAGACAAACCCAGCCACGTGCACTTCACTCATAGAAGAACAGTTGGTGATTTTCTTTGCAACTTTTACCGTGGATTTTTTTTCAAATATCTGAACTAGCCGATAGATCTATCTTCAACTATTAACTAACCTAAACAAAATATCCACCCCTAAAAGGGATTTTTATTGAACAGTTTAGCATATACAAAACTATACCAAGTGAAGAATCTCACCTCTTTTGTAAAAAAAGGGTGGGTAGTTAAAAAGAGATAAGATTCATGAGGAACCCGCGCGGTGAAATGATACTACTTTTGACAAATTAATTTTTATAGTTTTTAAAATAAGTTTATCTTTTTTCTCTGTAGCTTTTTTGCGCTTGCCGGAAAACATCAAAGAGTGATTTTTTAAGAGTTCCAGGAAAAATTTCCTCTTGGTTTTTCAGCATGGAACAAACTGGCACAGAAAGTTTCGAACAAAATTTTTAAAATCACCTTCCTAACGTTCAATCCTGAAAAAAAAATTATCAAGAAAAATGAACGTAGTGAAGACTCTTATATAGTTTCTGGTTTTTTTAAATTTTTTTTAAGAGTATTGAAGCTGAGTGATTTTGATTTTTTTGCGGTTTGACTTTGATTTTTTCAAGTTCAGTGCATTTCCATTGTTGAAAGGAAGGCAAACTCCACAATCGAACAGCAAAAGTGTAAAGGTCACCAAAAACGTGATCGACTTCTAATTTTGAAAATGGAAATTAATTATCAGAGTTCTCAGCGAAATAAAAGTTTTGTCTATTGATCCAGTTTTCTCAATTGGGTTTATTTTAACAAAGAAGTGTCCATTCTAAATTGTTCTACAAATTCAGAGTGCTCTAAGGCCATCTAGTTTGTTTCTTCAAAATTCACAAATTGGGAAGATTTTTGAAAGAACAAGTCGGTTTTTTTTCAGTTTCCTTGCGTTCATTACTCTTTTCCAACTTTCAGTTAGCAATGCGTGTATCATGCATTTGGTATCATGGTCGTGTTTAGTGCCGGCCATACATATGAACCCTCGGCCGGGTATCTGTTGAAGAAGTTGGTGCACAGACTGGATGTGGACTATGACTTCACCCAGCGACTGTTCAAGGCCATCAAGCCATACTCCACCCTGGACAATGTCATAGACTTAATCAACAAATTCACCTCAAAAGACCACATCACAATGCTACACAGGGCAAACCTAAATGTTAGTTTTTAGGTATAAATTTTTAAAATAAATGGTGAGAAACTCACAAAAAAAATAACGAAAAAAGTTACCACTAACAATCAACGTCAGGCATCAAAGAAAAAGAAAAAGATAGTCAATAGAAAAGAGAAGTCAATCACTAGATAGTAAATAGTCAATACAATTGTCGAGAACACTATCTTATTTTTTCGTCAAAATATGTCAGAAAGTTTCAAGTCCTACAATTTAAAGTAATAAACGTGCATCTGTTCGAAAAATCTTCAAAACGGTTTTTTTTCGATGACGGTTCTAATAATTACAACAAGGGGATCAATGTTTTTGTCAGATCCCTCCAAGTGAAGCGATCCTGAAGAAGTGTCTTCGAGAACTAGCCCCCTCGGCCATCAGTCGAAACCTGATGAAGATGTCGGAACTGCCCTATGAACCAGTAGTGAAAGCAGTGCGCATGATGAGTGACCAGCAGCTGCGCATGTTCTGCTCCCAAATAGGTCGTGACCTTTTACCCTCTGATAAGGACTCCTTGGTGTTGTTTTTGGAGAAGAAAGATGCGGGTTACGTGAAGGAACTGTTCAAGGCCGCAATGCCCCAGCTGTTCACGCTGACCGGAATTGCCATGTTAGTCTTTACCCAATCATAGCACGTCAGAAAACAGAACTGAGGTTGAAAAAAATAGTAGTAGATGTTTCAATTGGAATTTCGTTAAGAAATGTATTTATTGAAAATGAATGGTTATTTAAATGGGACAAAGTAGTGGAATACTTTTTCTGATCTTAGAATGCAAACAAAAAAAAGAAGGGAAAACTGTTTTTTGTATTTCAACAACTTAGTTGGAACCGAAGTAACTGTCAAGAAAATTAGTTTTTTTTCAGGCTGATATCTGAGAACTTGAACATCACCGAACGTAAGAAATTGATGGGCGGCAGTGAAGACCTGAACAAACCAACTCCCAAGGCCATCGCTAGATTCGAAAGCATGCTGTCTAGAGAAGAGAAAAACCAGATCTTCAAAGAGCTCAAGTACGACCTAAACGAACACCAAGTTGAGAGCCAAATTCGAGCCACAGTTCGCCGAAATCCAGCCTTCGTTGAAAAGATTCTTAAGAAGCCCCAAAAACAGGATGATGGCGAGGAGAAGAAAAAAGAAGAGATCGGGTTAACTATTGAGTATGTATTATCCCAGGGGGAGGAGTTTGTGATGAAGCTGATTCGGGAGGTCTTGAAGGAGATGGAAGTGAGAGGGATTCTGCAGATGTTGTTGGATATTGGCAAATTGAGGATCAAAAACAACGGCAGATGTTCTTGTTGGTCGCAAAACACCCTCCCGAATCCATGCCCACATTCTGCTTTTATGTAACATTATTCGTGTAAAAGATACTTAAATAATATTTTTGAAAAACTGGTTTTGATAAAATTTTAAGAGAAAAAGAACAAAGTCTAGACATAGGTAATACCAACATAAAAACGCAAGAAAACAGCAAAGCGAAAGTTATTGTTCCAACTGTTGAAAACAGAGAGGAACTTTGGATTCGGGATTGTTTTAGTTTTTTTTCAACGCAAAATCAGCTACCACGAAGACTCATCGTACGGGGTTGAGTGATATATCATATTAAAGCCCTTTCAGTCGTAAGTCGAACCACATATAAAATATTCCAAAAAATTTCCCCAGATCGAGAAAAACCGGTTTGAAATTTTTGATTTTTTTGGTCTAAGTTCGAGCCAATTAGTAAGGTAGTTACTAATTGCAATAGCTTATTTAAGCTTAACTTAAGCGGTGAAAACTTAGTTTTGCTCAATTAAAGGTAGTTTTTTGAGTTTTTAGCGAAATTTTGGGAATCAAAAATTTGAAAATTTAAAAAAGTTTCCACAAAAAACTGTTAATTTTTTTTTTCGTTTTTCTTGTCAATTTTCTTCAAAAATTGTAATCCAATTGACATATTTTACTATGACTCTCAAACATGCCAAAGTTTTTTTTCCGCTCAAATTTTTTTTCATCACAACATGCAGAAAAATACGACACAAATTTGACAGAAATTTTTTGTATTTTCTTAAGACTGTGGTCGGAACATTCGGTGCTAATAATTTGAAGTTTGATCATTCTTTAAGTTCACACTTTATTTCCCTTGTTGAAAGGAAGGCAAACACCACTATTGAATAACAACGAAAAAAAACATACATCGATCAGAAAAAAACATCGATGGGCTGCTGGTTCAAAATGAAGTAGTGGAAGAATTTAATTAGCAACATGTGCAACCAGGAAATGGTTGAAACTGGAGGATCCAAAATAAATGTTCTAATCAAAATGATACAAAAACCTTGAGACTGGTGACAAGAAAAAATGGGCAGAGATATAGGTATCTTCGTGCGTGAAGAGACTCGACATCAAATAAAGCAAAAAAACTGACAACAATAATCTTAAAATGATAGCTGTGGAATTCAACTAAGAAAATAAAATAATATTATCTTGTGTGTACAATCCACCAAGTTCAGTCAATAGCCAGAACCTAACCAAATTTCAAAATATAGTGGTTGTGCCAGAACCAAATCAAAGAGCATGCGGAGACTTCAATGTGAACAGCATGCGTAGCTCAAAAACTAGGACTCAAATTTGTCGCTTAATGTTAGGGAATGAAATTTTCGGCATGAACAAAAAATAACCAACAAGTTTAACAACAAAGTAAAAAACAAGACTAAAATATCTTTAACTCTCAATGCATCACTACGGCAAAACACATCGATTTATGTTCAACTTTTAGTTGTTTATCGTTCAAATTCGGTTGGTGACAAATTTTATATCTAGAAATGGTACCGAATTAACAAACAAGACTGCTCGTAGATCAGGGTGAAGCTCTGAATTTTCCGATTGTCCTTAATTCATAGCCAATAGTTTTTTGGAAAACAATTTACTAAAAATCTAAAAATTTTGGACAACATCTAAGTGTAAAAGTTTGAGTCGTACGAAATTATTCTGACCAATTAGCTAGTTTCATTACCATTTGGAATGATTTTGCTGTGCGAGATAACTTGCCACGCATAAATATTTCGAGTTACGCACTAAGCTTTATCAAAGAAAACTCTTCAAAGCGCGCATGGCCAATTTCCCAATTAATTTTCATACCCTTAGAACTTTACAAAAACTTATTGTAGGTATTAGCATTTTAAATTTGAACTCAAGAAATTGATATATTCAATGGGGTATAAAAATTACTGAATAAAAAATACACCGAACATTAATATTGCTTTTTCTTCGAAAGTCAAAAAAAAGAATTTTAGTATGTTAAAAACTGACTGGAAGTTGACTTTGACTACTTAGAAGAAAAGGTGAATGAGTTAAGCTGCGGACAGGGTTTTACTCATCTACACGCAATGCTTATTGACAGTTTAAATATTTTTATCCCTAAGAAACCAAAACCGGCAAACAAAGACAAGGTTTTTTGGATTGACAACCAATTTATACCAGGTGCTAATAGGAAGAATAGATAAAGATTAATTCTTCTGAAATTTGGGAGCGTAGATGCTAGAGATCAACAATTTTGTTGGAATTTAGTGGAAAAAAAAACATTTTTAAAGAAGAGAAAAATAACGCGGCTGTATATATATTCAACAATTTTTTCAAAAACATAGGCAATAAGTTAGCAAAATAGTTGCTACAAACACACGCCAAAAAAACACCAAAAAAATAGGTGGGAAATCAGGGTTTTTGAGACCGGTGAAACCAAAGGAATTGAATAAACCTTGGAAAGTTTGAAACAAAAATTCAACCTAGATTGCCAAAAACTTAATCAGGCTTATGATAAGTATATTGAAGTAGGTCAGAAACGCGAGAAACTCTGAAAACAAAACAATCCACGAAAACATCAACCGAAGACCAGGAAACAAATAGAATTTGGATCCTCACACAAAAACACCAGGACGCGAGTGTTGAGACCTTCTACGAACCGTTCTCAAAGACAACCTCCATGATCTAACAAGTCGACTATTTTACCAGGTTACCTTGCTTCTGACGAGTCTATGTTTATTCCCTCGTATACCTCCGATATAAGCGATTGGGAATGGATAGCTGGAGGTTTTCCGTGTAGAAACGTAGTTAGGGAGCGAATTATTTCGAATTCCGTAAATGATTTACAACAGGATAACAACACTGATAACTCTCCCGAAGCAAATGATAACCTTAAGGTTGAGATTTTAGAAACTAACCAAGACGACGCGCTAATAACATCGCAGTGACCAATCAGCATCAGTCCGGTGGAATCTACTACCACCACTCAAGAAAGGGACTCGAAGAATAACTCAACAGCACCACTAAAGGAAGACTCCCCAGTGATCTTCCCAATCTATTTCATCTAATAAACAGGGACTCATCTGATGAAGCCCTCTGCCTAAGCCAAAGTCCACACCTAAACCCGGTAATGAACCACCCATACGCCGGTCTAATAGAAATGTGGGCCCGCCAAAGTTCTATGGTAAGAGATATTTCATAGATGTTGTAGATGAGCTTCAAGTGGTTTCTGGCACCGCATCGAGCCCTATCGTCCTGGACAACAACATCAGCGAACACTCTGACTTAACTCACCAAGGATTTCCTTCGGACATAGTGACTATTCATTCAGACCCTTCTTCACCAGATCTTCATTCATCTTCATCGACGGACGAATCCCTACGAATTGCTGCGGACAATTTTGACGACAACATGGATCTTGACAGCGACTATTCAAGGCCGAACTTGAAAACTTTATAAACTGCTACAGAAACTGTAAACTCAAAAACTAATCATAACATTTCGCTAAGCCGATGCTATATGTTTTTTTTTCCTATTTACTACAATACTTTTGGATTGTTAACCGCCTGGGACATCATTTAAATTCCTTCGGATTAGTACATACACTTCACCTTAATGTTTGGCTACCTTTAAAACTTGATAGAAATGCTTTATACATGTACTTGATAGTAAAGCTCACTTAATTACATTTGGACTCAGTTACATTCCAAGGAATTTAACTTCGTAATTTTTCTGATTTCGAATTCGTCGACATACTTTTACATCCGGCGGATGTTGGGTGTTTATTTTAATCCAGCAGTTAATTTCATATCATTAACGGCCTTATTTAAATGCACTCGTTAATTTTTATCTCTAATCTAGTACACTTATGGTGCTTAAAATTTAATTTTGTTTCCCAAAGGGGAGAAAAGGTGCACTTAGTTAGTCACTTTTTGCAATATAAATTTTTTCTGCTTAAAGGAATGATGTGGTTCTACTTTATATACTCTAGTTTAGCTAACGATTACGTAACCATTCTAACAGGTCACTTAGATTTGACCTTCACTTTTTCATTCTCTCCGGCGAAGAGAATGCTCTCTTCACTTTTTATTGTTTTAACTTTAGATTATTTCAATTTTATTCTTTTGTTCTTTTAATTGTAAAAAGTAGAATTAGTTGCAACAAAGTAACATTTTATCACGTTATATATCGCGTTTTTAGTTATAGCTTTCAAAGTAGATCCATATATAAACAATTAAAACTTGGTGAAATGATTTTCAGAGTTTGAGTCGTTAGTGTCACTATACTTCAGACGGCAAAAAACGTTTCGTTGCAAATCGTTAGCTAAGAGACAAAAAATTGTGGAAAAAACCTCCTCTATGAGCAAAATTTTTTCTTACTCTCACAAAAATTAGGAAAAACAAAAAAATATGGGTCAGGCGAAGCCCCCGTAATGAAATATAAATTATTCCCTGCACCTACCAGCTCTTAGAAAATGATCGATTGTAGCACTTCTTCAAAACAAAACATTTTGAGATAACAATTGACACGCTTTGAAGTTTCCATAAGTAGATGCAAATGTAAATCAATTAAAAATGATTGGACTTAAAAATATAAAAAATTTGATTTTTCCATCATGATGAAGCACGCCGAAAATATTTATCATGTCAAAATTTAATCAAAGTAGTCAAAAACAAACATGCCAAATCGTTTTAGAACAACGGATTAATTTGAATTTTCTGTATTTGATTTTAATCATTTAAAATAGTGCTACTTTCGCTTTTAGATTTTAAGTTTCACGGCATAATTTTAATACACGTGGAACATTTTGCGACAAAGCAGGTGTAGAAATCAATAGTTTTCATAGTTATATATTTAATAGAGTATGGATACTGTTTTATTTTGAGAATTGACCAAAAAAACTTTTCTAATGCATGGCCACTCAAGGCGGATTTTGTAGTATTTATATTCAATACCTACGCTCTTTTACCGCTATTTGGCTCTTTACCAAATTCGCCAGAAATGATCGCGTGGGTGGGAAATTTATCGCTATAAGTTGAGACAGCAAATTGAAAACCATTAATTTCTGTTAAGACAGG